TGGCATTTCTGAGCACAGCTGAGCTGTAGTTGCACACGCTGATCCTGCACTCCTACCCAGTTAACTTGATTGCAGAAAGCAAGCAGAAACCAAGAAATGAGTTGGCGCTAGTGGCAGCAGACAGAAAAAGGTCTGGATGCCCCTGCTCCTCTTTAACATGCGTTCAAGGCCGTTGAGGAAAGGGCGGGAAAAAAAGCGGAATGAGGGGGAGGAAGATGACCAAGACACTCGCCTCGTGCGTGCCTCCTGGAGTTTGCCTTTACACTGCCTCTAAAAGCAGCTCATTAAAAAAACTTTAAGCCCGCGATACAGGCAACGCTGTGCGCTTCTCCTGGCCCGAAATGAGCTGGCACTGGCGGCAGCATAGAAAAAAAGGTCCAGATGCCCCTGCTCCTCCTCAGCATGCGTTCAAGGCTGTTGAGAAAAGGGCAGGGGGAAAAAGCAGAGTGAGGGGAAGACGACTAAGACACTTGCCCCATGCGCACCTCCCGGAGTTTGCCTTTACACTGCCTCTAAAAGCGGCGAGTTAAAAAAATCTTTAATCCCGCGATACAGACAACGCTGTGCACTTCTCCTGGCCCGAAAGGGGAAACTGGTGGGCAGGCCAGCTGGCCGTCATGGAGATGGCAAAGGGTTACATGCTGTGAAAGTGTGGGGGGGAGGGAGTCAGGCAGGCACGTTTTTCCCTCCACACCTGCATTGATGGCTTTGCCTGGCGCACATCAGCAAAACAAATGTGGGCCTCAATCCCCACCTGCTGCCACGGGATGAGTCCTCCAGGAAGGCGTGCGCCATCTGGCCGCTTTGCTTTCCCTTCCATAAAGCCGGGCACCTCGGGGAAAGTCTCGAGCCCTGGGACACAATGTGAGGGCCATGAGGGGTATCACAAGCTCGCGGGAGGGGAGAGAGGAAAAGAAAATGGAAGAGAGTGAGGCCACAACAAAGACAGAGAAGGGGGGAAAGGAGGGGCGGTTGTGAGGTTGGTGGTCAGGGCTGCGACGCGGGCAGTCTCAAACACCTACCTGTCAAGGAAGTGGATGGCTCTGTCCCCTTCAGACTCGCGCTTGCTTCTGAAGAAGAGGGGGGAAGGGAAACACAGATCCTGTACGAGAAGAAGTCAATCCGGTTGCTGGACAATGAGTCCCTGGGGAGGGCGGGGCCTCGCTCTGCGCCTGCGCTCTTCGCGCACCCTCGGTAGGGTTCCTGCAGACCGCCACCAAGCAGCATGTTTTCTGCAAGCGAGCTGGGAAGGAGCATAGCGGGGGAGAAGGCAATGCTGCGTACCATCAGCCAGGTGCTCGCGTACCACCACCAGTTGAAAAGCCCTGGTTTAGGGGATTTAAACTCTACTGAAGATGTTACCTAGTTGGGTAACGAAACATTCAGAAACCAGCCCACAAGCTCGGAGAACGAACCTTCACCCTCAAATATGGGAAGCTCTCTTTCTTCCCAGAGTAAATGGCACTTGGTCTGAAGAGGGGAGAACACCTCTGAGGAATGTGGTCAGGCAACCAAACAGCAGTGTGACTACCACATGTCTCAGAGCAGAAGGCGCTCAAACATTTGAAGAATAGAGGAACCGTCAAAGGCAAACCAAAAAATGCCAAAGCAACACTAAGCATCAGCCATCGATCCGAGATACTTACTGCATAGATTTTGTTGGCTGGGAAACGATGGATCTTGTTTAATAAACATGGATGGGGCAGAGTCAGCAAAGTCCTGAGTATCATGGCCCCCCCATTATTTCAGATGGTCTCACGCTCAGAACAGTATTTCACATAATCATTGGATTTGAGGTGGCCCTTCCTGCTGGTCCAATTCAGTTTGTTTAGTTAAATGTGTTCCCTCTTTATTTTGTTGTCTTAAGTTTCTAAGAATGTAGTTTCCTTTTTTTCACATGCTATGCTACACCTTCACACCCTTTTGGAAAAAAATGAAGAAAACACAGCACTAATTTGAAGCAACTCACCTATCTGGAGATGCAGAATCAGGAAAAAAAGAGGGAAATTCAATTACTCTTTTACTGACAAAAAATGGAGGAGAAAATAATGTGCTCCTTAGGAAAAGGGGGGGGGGAAGTCCTAAATAATTGATTCTTCTTAAATTAAGGGACAAGACTGTAGCAAACATTTTACGGAGTTGGTAAAAATGGGCTTTTTGAGATGAGGAAGTGCGTTCCTGCTTTTAATCAGGGATTCAGTTGAGGAACTTATTGAGTATTTGATAGTTTCACCACTATCATCATCGTGGCATTTTTGTAAAATTCAATTACTTATCCGGCAGCGTGGGACGATCCAAGACAAGCCTTTGCTTTCTTCAAAAGGGCATTTCATCAAATGCTTCAACGGGGATATTATATCCCTCCTGATTGCCTTTTTTTCAACATTCCTACCTGCTTCAGTCTGTTTTCATGGCATTTAAGTTGAACTCTGATGAACCTCATTGGGCTCCAATCTAGTTCCAGTCTGAATCTCTTAAATGGGGTCCCAGAAGTGCTTTTTTCATGAGGCAGCTGGACTTTGTTTTTCCTTGAAGACGTTTCGCTTCTCATCCAAGAAGCTTCTTCACCTCTGACAGGATGGTGAGGAATGGAAGGATTTTAAATCCTTGCAGACAGCTGGTCATTTACATTCTTTTTGACAGTTGTTGAGGCCACCTGGAGGTTTATCTGTGTCCTCAGGGTCACCCGAGTAGTGCAAATGGGTGTGGAGCCTTCTTGGAACTGCTGAAAGGACTGTGTTGTGGACTGGAGATAGATTCTGTCTATTGAGAGAAAGCTGTTCAATTTTGACACCCATTTGCACCACTCAGATGACCCTGAGGACAGATAAACCTCCAGGTGGCCTCAACAACCCTCTAAAAGAATGCAAATGACCAGCTCTCTGCAAGGAATATAAATCCTTCCATTCCCCACCATCCAGTCAGAGCTGAAGAAGCTTCTCGGATGAGAAGCGAAACGTCTTCAAAAGAAAACAAGTCCATCTGCCTTGTGAAAACAGCACCTTTGGGATAATCATGACCTGGATGACTCAGAATCTCCACAGACACTCTTAAATGGGGGAACTACTTAATGTTGGCTCTCACAATGGGGACAGGGATTCATACTTCCTTGGTCACAACAAATGAGGCAAAATAAAAGTTCTATTTTTTTCTCCCCCTTTGACCAAATCCACTGATAGATACCAATTGGGTATACTGATAGCTTGTTTTCTTCAAGTCCCTTTTTAAAATGCTCCTTGCCAACCTTTTCATTTTTAACCAAAACATTTTGGGCGACTTTTATCAATCGCTCGCTCTCAGCCTGACCTTTGCCACCGCACAGGACTATTATTTTGGGGGAAGTAGGAGAGATTTGGGTATTATGAACAAAGGCAAAGATTTGTGTATACAGGTGGTCCCCAACTTACAACAGTTCATTTAGTGACCATTCGAAGATACAACAGCACTGAAAAAGTGACTTAAGACCATTTTTTCACACGATTGTGGCACCATCCCTGTGGTCACGTGATTCACATTTGGATGCTTGACAACTGACTCACATTTATGACCATTACTGCATCCCAGGGTCATGCGATCCCCTTCTGCGACCTTCTGACAAGCAAAGTCAATGGGGAAGCCGGATTCACTTAACAACCGTGTGACTAATTTAACAACTGCAGGGATTCAGTTATCAAATGTGGCAAGTCGTAAAATGGGGCAAAACTCACTTAACGAATTTCTCACTTAGCAATATAAATTCTGGGCTCAATTGTGGTCGTAAGTCAAGGACCTGTATTTGCCACCTCGGAGTGTTCGAATATATAAAAAAAGAGAGATTAAAAATATAGTAATAATGCCAAATCCAGTCTAAACAAATGGCTGACTGTGCAACAAACCATAATAATATGAAGACCATCACTAGCTAAAGAACTGGCGGCTATGATTTCACATTCTGGTGTATATATAATAATCATAATAAATAGCAATAATTCCTCCTTCTTCAGGCATTCCTTTTTAGAGTCCTTTCAAACTTTTCTCCTCTTTTCGCATTTTCTTTATTGTCAGAGAAAATGTTTTGGATGTATCCCAAAGATGCTTTTCCACCAGGCAACTGGACTTTCTTGTTTTTCTTTGAAGACCTTTCACTTCTCATCCAAGAAGCTTCTTCAGCTCTGACTGGATGGTGGAAATCCAAATTCAGGAAACTATGACCTGGATGACTGGGAATCTTCATAGACGTTTTGAATGGATATTTAGGATTTTTTTGTTTGTTGGTTTCAACAAATGTTACCGACTGAGGCCTACTTGAGGAACGAAGCCTAACTTGGGCCATCTGGAACATTAAACACTGCAAGTTGTTTGGAAGAAGAAAAAATAGTAATTACAAAATTTCATAATTATTGGTTGGTAATAATGCTGAGAAGAACCAAATGGAGGAAGTTATAAGAAGTAAAGCTCAGATCCAGGATTTTAATCAGAGATCTCTTCAGGGGATCAAAATGATACCCACAGGTCATGATCAAAACTCTTCATCTTCACTTACGTGTATCACCTTCAAAGAAATACGGCTTAACATGTGAGATGAACCAGTCAGAAATATTATTTGGCAACGATTATGATTCCTTTTTGAGTAACAAAATGAAGTTGCTTTTTATCAGGGCCACCTTGCAGGTTCAGCCATCACTATCCTTTCGATATTCCACTCATTTACAGTTTCTCTCCTGAGTGGAAGGTCTCTGGGATGTAAGCTGAAGGGGTCTCATTGAAACAGTTTCTTTGATCCATTCTAGGTGTACTTTTTATACCAAATGGATACAGTCTTTCTACACACTGCACATTTAAGACCATGTAGCTCAACCAAACTCACACATTTATCTGTTTTCTCTTGTGTTGTTGTTTTTTTAAGGAAAAAAAAGGCAGTCCTGGTACCGTATATGCCGGCGTATTAGGCGACCTGGCGTATAAGACGACCCCCGTCTTTATCGCCGAGTCGCCTTCCTAGAACGTCATCTTATATGCCGGAAACTACCAGTATTTCCGGCGTATAAGACGACTCGGCGTATAAGACGACCCCCGTCTTTGGCGCCGAGTTTAGCGCTTCCGGAAGTCGTCTTATACGCCGGCATATACAGTAATCAATTTTCATTTATTCCAGGCATTCTTCCCACAATACGACTTTTAATGAGAAATGAACTTCAGGTGTTTTTATGGTTCTCCCATATGTGAATTCCTTTAGGTCTGATAAGGCTACTTACTGCTGCAACTGAACAGTCAACAAATTTCTATTGTTTCTTTCCTTGTTATGTCCCTTTGTGAGAAGAAAATACTTGAGTGATGAAAACTCCCAAGTTACGATTTCTCTCTTGTGTGGATTCTTTTATGCTTCGTAAGGTGACTATTTCGACTAAAACTTTTTCCACAATCTGTGCACTTGCAGGGCTTCTCTCCCGTGTGGATTTTTTTATGTCTCGTGAGGTGACTTTTGTGACTGAAGCTCTTTCCACACTCTGTGCAGTTGTACGGTTTCTCTCCCGTGTGAATTATTTTATGTATGATAAGGTTGCTGTTCTGACGGAAATTCTTGCCGCACTCCGTGCATTTGTACGGCTTCTCCCCCGTGTGGATCCTTTTATGGCAAATAAAGACACTGTTCTGACGGAAGCTCTTTCCGCACTCCAGACATTTATACGGTTTCTCCCCTGTGTGGATTCTTACATGCATCATCAGATTTGCACTGGCACTGAACGTCTTTCCACACTTCAAGCAGGTATATGGTTTCTCCCCAGTATGGATTCTTTGATGGTATCTAAGACCATTGTTATACGAAAAGCTTTTTCCACACTCTGTGCATTTATACGGTTTCTCTCCTGTATGCATCCTTTTATGATAAGAGAGATGACTGCTTCTATTGAACCGCTTTCCACATTCCAAACACTTGTAAGGTTTCTCCCCCGTGTGTATCCTTTTATGGCAAATAAAATAACTGCTGCAGTTGAAACTCTTTCCGCATTCCAAACACTTATACGGTTTTTCCCCCGTGTGCATTCTTCTGTGATATGTAAGGTGTAAGGCTGCAGTAAAACTCTTACCACACTCCAGGCACTGATACGGTTTCTCCCCGGTGTGAATCCTTTTATGTTTGACAAGGTGACTGTTCTGACTGAAACTCTTTCCACACTCCACGCATTTGTATGGTTTTTCTCCTGTGTGGATCTTTTTGTGACGAATAAAGTAACGGCTGCAATTGAAGCTCTTCCCGCATTCCGAACACTGAAATGATTTCTCTCCCGTGTGCATTTTTCTATGATAGGTAAGATCCGAGCGCACACTGAAACTCTTTCCACAGTCCAGGCACTGATATGGTTTTTCCCCTGTATGGATTCTTTTATGTTTCAAAAGGCTACTGTTCTGACTGAAGCTCTTTCCACACTCCAAGCATTTGTACGGTTTCTCTCCTGTGTGGATCCTTCTGTGGCAAACAAAGACACTGTTTTGACGGAAGCTCTTTCCGCATTCTGTACATATATATGGTTTCTCTCCTGTGTGGCTTCTTACGTGCATCACAAGGCTTGAACTTTCACTGAATTGCCTTCCACACTTCAGACAAGTGTATGGTTTCTCCCCAGTGTGGGTTCTTTTATGTCTTGTAAGGTGACCACTCTGGTTGAATCTCCTTCCACACACCAGGCATATATACGGTTTCTCCCCTGTATGGATCCTTTCGTGTATGATTAATTTACATCTCTGAGTGAAGGTCTTTCCACAGACCAGGCACACGTACGGCTTTTCCCCTGTGTGGATTCTTTCATGTATGGTAAGTTTACATCTCTGTGTGAAGGCCTTTCCGCACTGCAAACATTTATATGGTTTTTCCTTTGGGGGAGTTTCTGCGGGTGAAATAAGCAACTGTTTCTTACTGGAATTCTCTTCATACTCACACTGTTTTTCACTGTTATGGGAAATAGGATGACTGCTCAAATCAAAACTTTCCTCACAATTTATAAATGCATAGGGCGTGTCTTTGAGATACGATTGGTAATGTAAATTAACAGAAGAGGTATAATTGACCTTCTTCCCATCCTCTTGATATTCACATTGTTCCTCATCAGTCTGGGTTATACAATATTTACGGAAACCAAACTTCCTGTTGTCTCTTTCACCACATCCACTAAATTTTCCTTTATCTTCTCGTTGTTGAGCTCGCTGGGTTGAGAAGTCAAGGAATTCATTATATCCAAAAGGAGAAGAGCTCTTCCTTCCATACATTATGCAACTTTTCTTACTGCTTTGTGATGTCCCTTGATTTCCAAGCATTCCGTCTTCAGACTTGATCATTTGTAATAGCGCTACACCGGGCTCCTTATAATTAATTTGCTCCTGTCTATAACCTGGTTTGGAGAGAAAAAAAAGTTCATCATTACACAATAGAAAAAAAAGCTGCACCTGTTATTTCTGTATATCTAAGATTTTACTGAGTTCTTTGTATGATTGAAAAGAACCAAATTTCTATTTTATTTTTTAATAGTGCCTTTGCAATTATTCCCTCTTAATTTTATGAGTAGAGTAGAGTAGAGTAGGGTAGGGTAGGGTAGGGTAGGGTAGGGTAGGGTAGGGTAGAGTAGAGTAGAATAGAATAGAATAGAATAGAATATGCAGGAAACCCTATACCCATTTCAGACAAATAGTTATCCAATCTCTTCTTAAAAACTTCCAGTGTTGGAGCATTCACAACTTCTGGAGGCAGGTTGTTCCATTGATTAATTATTATAACTGTCAGGAAAGTTCTCCTTAGTTCTAGGTTGCTTCTCTACTTGATTAGTTTCCATCCATTGCTTCTTGTCCTGCCTTCAGGCGCTTTGGAGAATAGCTTGACCCCCCTGTTCTTTGGGGCAGCCCCTGAGATATTGGAAGGCTGCTATCATGTCCCCCCTCGTCCTTCTCTTCATTAAACTAGACATACCCAATTCCAGCAACTGATTCCAGCAACCGTTCTTTATATGTTTTAGCCTCCAGTCCCCTGATCATCTTTGTTGTTCTTCTCTGTGCTCTATGGGGTATTATGAGGTATTTCTGGTTTTTGTGTGTGTGTGTGTGTGTGTGTTTTTAATTTAATTTTTTTGCAATTTTACAATAAAATCCCTCTCCCACTATCTCCCTACCCTCCCAGAAACCCTCACCCCTCTCTGTGGGCACGCGCACCATCGCCCCAGTCCTAGGCCTTCAGCTGGGTTTTATAAAACCTTTTTGCTTTAGGCCTCTGCCGCCGTGTGCAAAAAAAAAAAAGTTCAATCAGTCAGTTTCAACTTCTCACGGGAAAAAAAAAGATCTTGCAAAGTTGGAATTGATTGATTGAACTCTTTAATCTCAACCAGTCTGCCATTACCACTGTGGCCACGCCCAGCCAATAGGCCACACCCACCAGGCACTCGACAATGCATAAGTGGGTTTTAGGTTGCAGTTTGGGCATTCGGTCTCTAAAGGGTTCGCCATCACTGACCTAGGAAATCGGATGATTATTAGTAAGGTGACCAATCGTCCTCCTTTAGGGAGGGCAGTCCTTCTTTTGTACTCATTTAAATAATAATTAATAGGAACGTAAGCATAATTACAATATAAAATGTTATTGTTACAAACGTTTTTTATTATACATTTATCGTATTATAGCAGTGATGGCGAACCTTTTAGAGACCGAGTGCCCCAACTGCAACCCAAAACCCACTTATGCATCGTCGGGTGCCGGGTGGGTGTGGCCCACTGGGTGGGCGTGGCTACAGTGGTAACAGCAGACTGGGTGGGACTAAAAAGTTCAATCAATCAATTCCAACTTTGCAAGATCTTTTTTTTTCCCACAAGAACTTGAAATTGACTGATTGAACCTTTTTTTTTCTGTAGAGGCCTAAAGTGAAAAGGTTTCATAAAACCCAGCTGAAGGCCTAGGACTGGGACAACGGCGCATGTGCTCACAGAGAGGGATCTGAGTGCCGCCTCTGGCACCCATGCCATAGGTTCGCCACCATTGTATTATAGTGTATTCTGTATTGTTGCAATGAATAAAATGTTTTATTTACGATATTTTTTGTCTTCAATTTATTTGTGTCCTTCTCATTGTAAAAAAGTTGGTCACCTTATTATTAGGAACAGAAATCAAGAGGGAGACACAGGGCATATTTTTCCTGTGCTTATTCTAGCCAGGTGCTCTTAGCACTTAGGACAAAAGACTTTCCTCAATTAATTGAACTCAGAGCAAAACAGGTCCTTACCCAGAGCGGCCACATTCCTAGCATTCTCCAGCATGACTTCCCCGTGTAAGGCTCTCTGGCTGGGATCCAGCAGCCTCCATTCCTCCTCTGTGAAATACACAGCCACCTCCTCAAAGGATATCAAACCCTGAAAGTCAAAGGATATGTTCCTCAGCAGAAGTCCCAGAAAGTCTCCTTCTAGATTTCCAATACCCCCCCATTTTCCAAGAGAGAAAACACCCCTTTTCTCACAGGACGTACTACCTGGTTTTAGATTAGATTTAAATTCACTTTGGAAGCATTCACAAGTGCACAAAACATGCATATTGAAGTAAAAACATAACCATCCTGGAGAGACACAAAGCTCTGGAAATCAAAGGGTATGTTCTTCAGAAAACATCCCGGAAGTTCTGTCCCAGACTTCGTGTATCTTAAATAGCAAAGTTTTGTAAAAAAGAAAATGCTTTTTTTTTTTTTTTTTTTACAAAATCAGATGCCTCTTGTAAGATTTACTACCCCTTTGGAATATTCACAAATGCAACAAAGATGGAACTTGAACCTCTAGGTTGCAGTTTAATAATGCGGCCATCTTTGAGAATTCTTCCTTGGGAGAACATGGAATCATAGAGGTGTGCAGGGGAGGAGTGGCACCCTGATCCATTTGCACGGTTGGAGTTTCTTCCTGGCATGATTCATCTTCAGAACTGTGTGAATTTGTCTGACATGCTTCTCTTTGAAACATGATAGCAGTGTTTCAATATCTCAGGGGCTGCCACAAAGAAGAGGGAGTCAAGCTATTTTCAAAGGCGCCTGAAGGCAGGAAAAGAAGCAATGGATGGAAACTAAGCAAGGAGAGAAGCAACCTAGAACTAAGGAGAAACTTCCTGACAGTTAGAACAATTAACCAGTGAAACAACCTGCCTCCAGAAGCGGAGAATGCTCCAACACTGGAAGTTTTTAAGAAGAGACTGGACAGCCATTTGTCCAAAATGATATAGGGTTTCCTGCCTGAGCAGGGGGTTGGACTAGATAACTTCCAAGGTCCCTTCCAACTTTACTACTACTACTACTACTACTACTACTACTACTACTACTACTACTACTACTACTACTACTACTACTATTATTATCTTTTATTTCTTTTTTTACACCCCAAGATTTATTTTTGCAGGAGCAACCACCTTGTATAAATACAAACTTGGTATAAACATATTTTAATCTGATGTGTTTATGAACTTATTTAATGTCTATGGAGATTCTCAGTCATCCAGGTCATGGTTGTCCCAATGATGCTGTTTCATGAAGCAACTGGACTTTCTTGTTTTTCTTTGAAGAGGTTTCCTGTCAGAATCCAATTATATTTCATCTTTAATCATCAAATATAGAAAACCCCAATTCTGCCTTCTTTGGATTCTGCCATAAGAGGGAGAGAAGGGGGAGAACAAAGGGGCTTTATGGCCCTCACTTCCTTCAGTATACTTCTAAGGATTTGAATGTGTTTATTGCAACCTCAAAGAGTTTGAATGTAAATAGCACCAAAGAACCTTACCATGACAAAGGGGCTATTTACCTTTCATGTAGTTTATCTGAAGTCTCCATCCAGACGGAAGAAAGCATCACAGGGGTGGGATTGTGATGCCTGAAACTATCACTGGAAGGGGGGGTGATTGGGTGGGACTGCTGGGGAACCCCTTAAAACCTTGAATGGGAGAGCTTGGACCCCAAGTCCTGTCTAGCACGCCTGCAACCACTTCTTCTTAATAAAGGATTCCTGTTGGAAGAATTATTCCAAGAGTTCTGTCTTAAGATGCAAGTGGGGTGGGTCCTTACATTTCCCTTCTCATCCAAGACACAAAGACAGCAAAGTCCACATTTTGGACAGAGAGGATTGCTGGTTTGAAAGAGGGGTCAAAGAGGCCATCTATGTCAAAACTGAACAGTCCCCTCTGAACAGAGGGGGAGGGATACGACATCATCTATCTCCAGTCTACACCACAGTCTTTTCAACAGTTCCAAGAAGGCTGCACAGCCATTTGCACTACACAGGTGCACTACTCACTATCCTGATGACACAGATAAACCTCCAGGTGGCCTCCATGACTCTCTAAATTAAAGAAGGCAAATGACCAGCTGTTTGCAAGGAGTATAAATTCTTCCCTTCCCCACCATCCAGTCAGAGCTGAAAAAGCTTCTTGGATGAGACGTGAAACGTCTTCAAAGAAAAATGAAAAAGTCCAGTTGCCTTGTGAAAAAGCACCTTGGGACAACTGATTTAATGCTAATCAATTCTTAGTGTTATCATTTAATTGCTGTATTTATTAACACATTGTGAGGAGTCCTACTAATGGTTTAATAAAAGTAAATATATTAAAATGACTCTTTGCTTTCATAACGTGCTATCCGATTCTTCTTGCATCTGCCAGCAAGGGATTTATTTTAAAGTAAAATACTGTAAACGACTGGAGGAACAAGAAACCTAAATACTCAGCTATTTACACAAATTATACTGTTCTGTAGGGTGTCAACTCCACAAACGAGCATGGCTGCAGCCATTATTCCTACTCATTTTGGGTTGCCATATAGAATAGAGGGAGGGGGGTTGCCAGCTGCTTCGCTAGTCAAAATAATCTTTTGTCCCATGGGAACCAAGATCATCAGCTGCTCCTGAGACTGTAGGCTGGGCGTTGCAAATAAAGCCCACCAAGAAGATGTATTGGGGAACGTAGTTGCTTCCATAGCTTTAGGGGAGGGATTTTTTTTTAACTTTGTATTGGGGAATTGTTACGTGTATCTCCAGCTTTGGTTTCGCTTTTGGTGTGACATAGGATTGTGCAGAGACATCACCCTGCCAAAAAAAAGTATATATAGTCAAGGCCATGGTTTTCCCAGTTTGCAATGTATGGCTGTGAAAGTTGGACCATAAGAAAGGCTGAACGCCAAAGAATTGAGGCCTTTGAACTATGGAGCTGGAGAAGACTCCTGCGAGTCCCTTGGACTGCAAGGCATTCAAACCGGTCAGTCCTAGAAGAGATCAACCCCGACTGCTCTTTAGAAGGCCAGATCCTGAAGTTGAAACTCAAATACTTTGGCCACCTAATGAGAAGGAAGGACTCACTGGAGAAGGGCCTAATGCTGGGAAAGATTGAGGGCAATAGAAGAAGGGGACGACAGAGAATGAGATGGATGGATGGAGTCACTGAAGCAGTAGGTGTGACCTTAAATGGACTCCAGAAGATGGTAGAGGACAGGAAGCCTGGAGGAACGTTATCCATGGGGTCGCGATGGGTCGGACACGACTTCACAATTACCAACAACAGGGTTGTGCTTAAACAACCATTTGAAAGTGGGGCCAAACCAACTCCTGATCTCAAGGCTCTGCATCGAATCCCATGGCAAAACCAGACATCCCCACTGCCCCACAAAGATTTCTGTGCCTACCTGAGCTGTTGTTCCCCCACCCAGAGGAGATGCTTCAGCAATTTCCATCAGCAGCCTCCCACTCCCTGTGACTGAGATAGAAGGGAAGCACTATTTATTTATTTATTTATTTATTTATTTATTTATTTATGAGACTTATATACCGCTTTAAGTGCAAGCATTCTCTAAGCGGTGTACACCAGTAAGCAATGTATATATATATTTACATTGCCCCCCAACAATCTGGGTCCTCATTTTACCTACCTCGGAAGGATGGAAGGCTGAGTCAACCTTGAGCCGGTGAGATTTGAACCGCTGACCTGCTGAACAGAGTCAGCTAAAGTGGCCTGCAGTACTGCACTCTAACTGCTGCGCCACCTCGGCTCACTATAAATTAACCCCGGCCCAAATTTTGCGATTGTGTGTAAAAACAGCACATGAACGAAAGCACTTCAAACTTCAAGGCCCTCAGAACTGATTTTCACTTACGTGGCAACATGAACCGACTTGGATCCTCCTCGGGGATCCTTCCCAACGGTTGCTGCATAGAGGGACCAGAAAGACCTTCCTTTCTTTTGGGAGATACCACAACTGCCTTCATTAAAGGCTCCTGCCTCTGAAATAACAGCCAGAATCACAGGAGAACCAAAGTTACAACAACTGAACATTGGAACAAGGGAATTCTGTTTTGCCTTCAAAGCTGGACCATCTTATATCCATAGGCCAGGGGTAGGCAACCTTGGCTCTTTTATGACTCGTGGACTTCAACTCCCAGAATTCCTGAGCCAGCATGGCTCAGCTTGGAAACCTCTCCCTTTCTCCTCAGCATGGCTGGCTCAGGGATTCTGGGAGTTGAAGTCCACGAGTCATAAAAGAGCCAAGGTTGCCTACCTGGCCTAGGCCTAGGCCGCTTTATGACTCGTGGACTTCAACTCCCAGAATTCCTGAGCCAGCATGGCTCAGCTTGGAAACCTCTCCCTTTCCCCTCAGCATGGCTGGCTCAGGAATTCTGGGAGTTGAAGTCCACAAATCATAAAAGGCCCAAGTTTGCCTACCTCTGGCTTAGGCCTAGGCCGCTTTATGACTTATGGACTTCAACTCCCAGAATTCCTGAGCCAGCCTGGCTCAGCTTGGAAACCTCTCCCTTTCCCCTCAGATGGCTGGCTCAGGAATTCTGGGAGTTGAAGTCTAGGAGTCATAAAAGAGCCAAGGTGGCCTACCCCTGCCATAGGTCAGTGTTTCCCAAACTTGACAATTTTAAGGCATGAGGACTTCAACTCCCAGAATTCCACAGCCAGCAACGCTGGCTGTGGAATTCTGGGAGTTGAAGTCCACATGCCTTAAAATTGTCAAGTTTGGGAAACACTGCCATAGGTGAAGATGCAAACTCCCTTGGGATTCTCCTCCCTCCTGTGGAATGATCTGGACAAAGAAATAGAAGTCTGGATGGCACCGAAGGGGGAGGGCAACCACTTCAATTGCTACAACCCGCATTTGTGGTGAGCAACGCAGCAAAGGAAAGAAGGACCATCCTCCTGAGGGCATCCTCCGAGGACGGAGCCTCTCACCTGCTGCTTCCATTCCTCGGCCTGGCTCAGCAAGAAGCCTTCGGCCAGGGCCACCGCCTGGGAGCAGCTCTCCGCTCCGCACTCCCTCAGCCAGCCCGCCATCTCCGGGGGCAGCACGGCCAGGAACTGCTCCAGGATCACCAGGTCCACCACTTGAGCTTTGCTGCTCTTCTCGGGCTTCAGCCATCGATAGCAAAGCTGCTGCAGGCGGGTGCAGACTGCCCGGGGCCCCGCCGACTCCTGGTAGCCAAAGGGGCGGAAGCGCTGGGCCTCTGAGTCCGGCGGGTCCTCGGGGAGGGTCTCCCGCTTGGCTCCGGCGGCCCAGGCCTCTCCACCTTCCTCGGGCTCAGCTTCAGGAAGGCCTGAAGCTCTTCTCCACTCTCTGCCTGACTTCGGCACGTCCATCTTGCGGGCCAGGCAGGCCGAGCTTCCTTCACGGGCGTCAATTCAGCTCCTCTCCTTCTCGGCCCGCATCTAGCGAGGAGCCTCTGGGACGTTGAACAGCTTTGCTGTGGACCAGCAGATACACCACCTGCAAGGGCTTCTAAGACAGGGAGGAAGAGTCTGAAGCAAAAGCTGAGCAATCTCACACCTACAAATAAGGCTTCAATCAATCCGTCGGGCTAGAGAGCTGGAAGGGACCTTGGAGGTCATCTAATCCAACCCCTTTGCTCAAGCGGAAGACCCTATATACCCATTCAGACGGGTGGCGGTCCCAATCGTTTCTGGAAAGCTTCTAGGGGATGGAGCAGCCACCACTTCTGGAAGGCCTCCGAGATGCGCTTCTTGCCGGTTCCCCCCCCCCCCCCCCACGATCTGGTTCCCACGACCGGCTCACCCGCTTGCTAAGCCACCCAGGGCCATAAACCCAATTGCAAAGCAGGCGAGCGTCGCCTCCCCTTTGCCTCCTGGGTCCTCTAAGTCAATCCCACGGCTGGCCGGCGGGGGAGGCGATTCAGACGCTCCTCCCCGGATCGCGGTACCCGCCGAAGGAGACACACAGCGGGGAAAGCCGGAGCGGAGCTGAACCGGCCTCTCTCTGCCTGCGTGGGGCTTCACTCACCCACCCACGCACCCTCTTTTTGGGACGCCCCACTCACCACCTCCCTCCCAGCCTTCCCGAGAAAGAAAGCCTTTTGAACACGCGGGTTCGTGCTTCCCCACGATCCCCGATTCTGGGCAACAAAAATCCCGGCTCTTCAATTAGCCCCGCCCTCGCCGCCTCGCGGGGGGGGGGAGCTTGGAATGCGGGGCGAGAGAAAAAGAGAGAGCGCTTCTTCCTAGAGAGGCAACACTCCGGCAACCCCCCCCCCCACCCTCGCCGACTCCGGGGGGAGGGGGGGAAGGTTCGGAATGCGGGACAAGCGAAAGCGCATCTTCCTAGAGAGGCAACATTCCGGCAGCCTCCCACCCATCCTTAAAGGGCGCCCCCCCCGCGCTTTTTTCCTGCAGTAGCCAATTGCTCGCCAAGCTCTCCGGCGCATGCTCCGTCCCAGTCTGAAGGGAGGAGAGCGGAAAAACTACAACGCTTGCAGGATTATTGGATGGATTTGAATCTGTGGTTTCCAGGGGATTTGAAGGGAGGATTCCAATTGTCTTTGAGAGGGGATCCGCGAGGCTCAATAACGGAGCTGGAAGGGTCCACAAAGAAGAGGGCGTCAAACTATTCTCTAGAACATAAAGAAACCATACGTTATAACCATAGATGCACACTAAGCACTGAATATTTCTGCAGTTGTTGCAATACAAAATACATTCTAACACCGTGTTTCTCAACCTCAACAATTTTAAGATATGTGGACTTCAACTCCCAGAATTCTCCAGCCAGCATGCCGGCTGAGGAATTTTGGGACTTGAAGTCCACAAATTGTAAAGTTTTTGAGGTTGAGAAACACTGTTCTAACATGTATTCCAATAGCTAGTCAATGTAGTTTGGGTAATGAAACGTCTGCAAGAAAACAACCAAGATCAGAGAGCACCAAGGAACTTATTGCTGATAAGATCATTGGCCTTCCTTGATCATTTTACTACTATCATAATAACATTTTTCTTTTCAACCAGATCAACAGAAATTAAACCTTTCCGTTCTTTTATTTCATTTGAACTGATGGTCAACAATCGTTTATATCCTTCTTTAGGCACCTTTGACATAACTGCATTTAAAATATTTATATAGCCACCCATCTTTCAACAACTCCTGGGTGGCACCCAATCAAAGAGATTTTTGTCAGTTTTCTTTTGTGTTTTCTTTCATAAGGGCAGTATGAGAATCAGAAATTTCTTACAACTTTTTGTAAGTTGTATAACAGCCATTTATGAAACCTGAAGGCAGTGATTTTTGAAACATTTCCATACACCAGCTGTTATTACATTTTCCTTCACATTCCTTTACATTTCATATGGATAATTTTGGGCCAGGCACTGTCTCTCAACTTAAACTACCTCATAGAGTTGTTGTTGTGGGGAGGATAGGAATGAGTAATTAGGTATGTGTTAAGCTATGAAATTTACTGTCTTTAGGACCACCATAGCGCTTCTAGCTTGTCTAAAGGTACAGGGGGGAGGGGAGAAGAGTTTGGGATCCATAGGTCCTCCCTATCAGCATGAAAGCCGAAGCCGCTGAAGAGATGTTTTGGGGAACCGAAGTTTCTTCTCATAATTATTGGAAGATTAATTGGACAATGTGACCTGAACGGTCAGAGAGCAGAGGGAAAGTTTTACTTTTTAATTATCTGTTTTCTGCTATATTCTCAGAGCTAGCTTTCTTTCCATCGTACCAGTTTGCTAATGCCTAATAAAATTTACATTAGAAATCGCAATGTCTCTGCTGTTTTGCTTCACTGGGCTTCTTAGCCGGAACTTGACAGTATGTTCATCACTTGAGTTATTTATTTAAAAAGATAAAGCACAGAAAATAAATACATAAGGACACACTTCTGACAGCACATCTTCCTACACTCTACATATTTTTCGTTTTTCCCATGTGGCTCCTTTACAAGAATTACAGTTTCTCTCCTGTGTGAATTCGTTTATGTTTCATAAGGTTACTGTTCTGACTGAAGCTCTTTCCACACTCCGTGCTTTCATACAGTTTCTCTCCTGTGTGCACTCTTGAATGATACATGAGATGTGAGCTTGTGCTGAAACTTTTTCCACACTCCACACATTTATACGGTTTCTCCCCCGTGTGAACCCTTCTATGGTAAATAAATTGGCTGCTGAAAGTGAAGTTCTTTCCACACTCCAGGCAATTGTATGGTTTTTCTCCTCTGTGGATACATTTATGTTTCGCTTCTGACTGAAGCTCTTTTCACTTACGCTTTTCCTGTGTCATAACCAGATAGATTAATATATCTTTTAAAAAAACAGTTGTATTCTAGCTGTTTATAACATCCCTAAAATCCTAACATTTAGAGAAACTGTCCTACATAATTTAACCCTTCTCATGATACTTCCGCTGCTCCAATCTTGCTTACCAATCATACAACTTGGAACAGTCAACAGCAAATTCCAGACTACTATATCATTAAACGTTCTTCTAATAAAAGGGGAAGCTTTGTTTTCTGATCAACTGTCAAGCCTTTTTATTTCCTTATACAAGACTGCAGCTCCTTAGTCCACCCGGTCCCCATTTCCATTAACTCCTCATTCCCTCTCACAAACCTATTATGGGAACCAAGTTCACAGAGGATTAACTAAATGCTGTAACAGGTAAAGTATGGTGGTTTTCCTCCTTTCCTCCCTAATCCATTCTTACATTCCATATAATACTTCTCTCTGTTCCATTTATTTATTCAGAATAACAGAGACTTATGACTTTGAATAATGAGGAAAACAACACTAATTTGAAGCAATGGACCCCTATCTAGAGATACAAAATAAAAAATGAGGAAAATTTATATACTGTTGTAGCAAAAAAAAAAAAAGATACAGCATAAGAAAGTAAGTGTGCTCCTTAGGGGGAAAAAACACCCCTCAAATATTTTATTCTAAAATTAAAGGACAAGCACTGTAATAAACTTTTTATAAAGTTGCACAAAATGTGGAGTTTTGGAGAGGAGGAGATGTAATCCTGTTTTTTTTTTAAATTATGGGATTGGTGTCAGCAGAGGTAGTTATTGTGTGTTTTAAGTTTTACCACTATCACAATAATTTTTTAAAACATTAAATCAGATTCTGCCAAGTTCATTCTGCACTGCAGGATAAATCTTTCCTTTGTTCTATGGGACATCGCATCAAATGCTTCCACGGGAATATTATATGCTTCCTGGGTTGTTGTTTTTGTTTTTTTACAAAGCTAAATATTCCCATTAGCCTCAGTCTGTTTTCATGGGACTTTAATCCTGACCAACCATATGATCCTCGTCAGCCTCTGATAAAACAGTCCCTGATTACCTCAGGAAAAATATTCAAAATTGGTCTAACAATAGGGAGAGGGACTCATGATCTGTTGGTGAAGTCTTAAGCAAAAAACCCCACCAACCCTCTCCATGTTCCACAGTTTTTTCTCCTGAGCGGAACTTTTCTGATATTTAAGAAGACATGTCCCCTTAAAATAGTTGCATTGCTCCGTTTCTTGATGTACTGTCTCTCCTGTATGGATTAGCTCTTCAGTCGGCAGGTTTAGCATCCATGAAGTTCATCCAAACTCAGATATGTATTTTCTTGGAGGGCATAGTCTGTCCTATGGGAAATAAGGACAGTGACACATTTTAACCCATTTCTACACTTCTACACTTTACAGTTCTCCAACATGGATTCATTTAGATCTGATGAGGCTCCTTTTTCAACTGAACGTTACTGCAAAATCAACATATTTCTGGTGTTTTTCGCACGTGGGTCTCTCTTAGAAGAAAACACTTGTGATGAACGCTCCCGAGCGTATGGTTTCTCTCTTATGTGGATTCTTGTGTGTTGTGAAAGGTGATTTTTCTGACTGAAGCCCTTTCCACACTCGGAGCATTTGAATGGTTTCTCCCCCATATGAATCCTTTTATGGCAAATAAAATGACTCAGGCATTTGAAACTCTTTCCACATTCCAAACACTTATAAGGTTTCTCCCCTGTATGGATCCTCCTGTGACAATTCAGATTGGAGCGAACACTGAAGTTCTTTCCACACTCGAAGCACTTGTAAGGTTTCTCACCGGTATGCATTCTTTTGTGTTTCTTAAGATGACAGTTTCGCCTGAAGTTCTTCCCGCACTCCAGGCATTTGTATGGTTTTTCTCCTGTGTGGATCCTTCGATGGTAAATAAAGGTCGTTTTCTGACGGAAGCATCGCCCACACTCGGAACATTTATACGGCTTCTCCCCCGTGTGGATTCTTATATGTATCACCAGGCTAGATCTTCCACTGAAGTTCCTTCCACACTTCAAGCAAGGATATGGTTTCTCCCCAGTGTGAGTTCTTTTATGTCTTGTAAGGTGACCGCTCTGACTGAATCTTCTTCCGCACACCAGGCATATATACGGTTTCTGTCCCGTGTGCTTTCTTTTGTGAGCTGTAAGGCGACTTCTCCTACTGAATCGCTTTCCGCACTCCAGGCATTTATACGGTCTCTCCCCTGTGTGAATCCTCTTATGATACGTAAGATCCGAGGAGCCACTAAAACTCTTTCCACACACCAGGCATTGATACGGTTTCTCCCCTGTGTGAGTTCTTTTGTGTTGCATAAGGCTACTGTTCCGCCCGAAACACTTTCCACACTCCAGACACTTGTATGGTTTTTCTCCTGTGTGGATCCTTTTATGGTAAATAAAGGTAGTTTTCCGACTGAAGCTCTTATCACACTCTGTACATTTGTATGGTTTCTCCCCCGTGTGGCTCCTTACATGTTTGATAAGGTTTGAACTTCCACTGAACTTCCTTCCACAGTGAAGACACGAATACGGTTTCTCCCCAGTGTGGGTTCGTTGATGTCTGGTAAGGTGACCCGTCTGACTGAATTTTTTTCCACACACTAGGCATATATATGGTTTCTCCCCAGTGTGGGTCCGTTCATGGACAGTAAGTTTACATCTGTGACTGAAGGTCTTTCCACATTCCAGACATTTATACCGTTTTTCCATTGGGGCATTTTCTGGGGGTAAAATAAGCAACTGTTTCTGGCTAAAACTCTTTTCACACTCATACGGGTTCTCCTTTTTATGCGACATAAAATGATTGTTCAACGTGAATTTTTTGACACAATTTATAATTCCATATGGTGTCTCTGGGATGTATGATGGGTGATGTAAAACAAGAGAAGAGCTAAGGCTGATACTTTCCCCGTACTCTTGATATTCATATTGTTCCTTTTCAGTCTGGTATGTATAATATTCACTAAAAACAAATTTCGCTTTGTCTGTCTTGTCACATCCAAGATATTTTCCAACTTCTTCTTGTTGCTGAAGTTGCTGGACTGGGAGGCCAAGGACTTTATTGTGATCAGAAGGAGAAGACTTCTTCCTTCCACTCTTTAGGCAGTTTTTTGAAGTTTTTTGAAGTACCCCCTTGATTCCGAGCATCTTTTCTTCAAACTGGAATAGCGCTAGGTTGGGTTCCTGGTAATTCTCCTGCTCCTGCCCAAAACCTGATTTGACGAAGAAAAGAAAAAAATAATCATTACGTTCATCACAGAAAAATGCTGCAACTGTTATTTTTGCTTTTCCAACATTTTGCTAGATTACTCTTTGTATGGCGTAAATCTTTCGTTTCATTTAAGGTTCTACCTCAAACATTATATATCTTTTGGGCGATTCCCTACTTAATTTTTATGAGGTATTTTGGTTTTTCTTCCTACCCTTGTAGAACCCCCCCCTACATTTTTGTTATCTGAAGACTGAATAATCAGGAGCAAGGGATATCAAGAACAAACCATATTTAGGTGATTTAGACAATCACCTAAATATGAGCCAGCCGTGTGCTGCGGCTGCCAAAAAGGCCAACACAGTACTAGGCTGCATTAACAGAGGGATAGAATCAAGATCACATGAAGTATTAATACTACTCTACAATGCCTTGGTAAGGCCACACTTAATACTGCATCCAGTTTTGGTCACCTCGATGTAAAAAAGATGTTGAGATTCTAGAAAGAGTACAGAGAAGAGCAACAAAGATGATTAGGGGACTGGAGGCTAAAACATATAAGGAAAGGTTGCTAGAATTGGGTATGTCTAGTTTAACGAAGAGAAGGACAAGGGGGGACATGATAGCAGTATTCCAATATCTCAGGGGCTGCCATAAAGAAGAGGGAATTAAGCTATTTTCCAAAGCACCTGAAGGCAGGACAAGAAGGAACGGGTGGAAACTAATCAAGGAGAGAAGCAACCTAGAACTAAGGAGAAACTTCCTGACAGTGAGAACAATTAATCAGTGGAACAGCCTGCCTCCAGAAGCAGTAAATGCTCCAACACTGGAAGTTTTTAAGAAGAGACTGGACAGCCTTTTGTCCGAAATGGTGTAGGGTTTCCTGCCTGAGCAGGGGGTTGGACTAGATGACCTCCAAGGTCCCTTCCAACTTTACTACTATTATTATTATTATATAAAATGTATGAAGCAATTGATGCCTTGATGTTCACTACAGCAAATTCAGTTTCAAGAATGCCTTACATTATATACCGACACACCTAGCCTGAATTCATGAAGGCATTTGAAATGACATCTTGTAATCATTAGTCTTATCTCTCCTAAGGTGAACATCACCCTCAAACATAAAAGAAATCTCTTGAGAATTTCCTGGTTGAAAGTACAAACTAAAATTGAATTTTCCTGGTAAGGAGAAGCTTCCTCCCGCTCTACTCTCTGTGCCCTAGGATCAGGTGGGGGAGGCAGGTGTTCCTTGTCACTGCTGCCAATCCTTCCCTATATTTATTTCCTCTTGTGGAAGAAATAAATCTAACAAACAAAATGGAGGCTGCACTTGTTTGCCTCCCCGCCTTTTAGACATGAGTTGGATTAAAACCCAGGTCATCTCTTTACCTAGCCCTATCAGACCTGAATTGATCCTCCTTGCTCTAGACCAGTGGTTCTCAACTTTAATGCCGTGACCCCCCAACCGGTCGTAAGTCGAGGACTACTCAACCGGTCGTAAGTCGAGGACTACTCAACTGGTGCCGCACTGTTTGCAGAATGGGACTTTTGGCGGGCTCAGCAGGGCAGAGACAGCCTGGACAATTCCTATTGGCTTTTGAAAGCCAATAGAATTAGACTCTATTCAAGAGAGTCTATTCTATTGACTTTCGAAAGCCAATAGAATAAAAGGGAGTAGTACAGCTAAGGAAAAGGGGGAAAAAATGGCGGACTGCGTTGTTTGGCGACCCCCGTGAAATGGTCGTTCGACCTCAAATGGGGTCCCGACCCACAGGTTGAGAACCACTGCTCTAGACAACCTGCCCCCCTGCAGTCCCATCAAACCAAAGAACAGAAGTCTTATCCACTCCTAGTACAGCCCAAGGCCGCCCTTAAAAGGGAACTGCAACACAGACAAGTCCAAACCTTCCATTCTCCATCATCAGACTTCAACATTCCCTCTCCTGAACAATGGACTTCTTTAGCTATGCTGCCCTTTTGAAAGGCCCGTCTTGCCAAACAGCAGAACTACAGGTATTCCTTGATTAGTAACTGCCTCAGAGAGTGACCATTCAGTTATGAAGGCGATGAAAAAAGTCAAGGCTCATAAATATGGAACTCAAAAGTTCCATTTATTTTATGATTAATTTTTTTAAAATACTAATTATTATTTATAGAATTTTATAACAAATGTTTTATAATGGATTTGTTTATATTATTATGATGTTAAAGTTTAGAGCAGTGGTTCTCAACCTGTGGGTCGGGACCCCATTTGGGGTCGAACGACCATTTCACGGGGGTCGCCAAACAAGGCTGTCCGCCATTTTTTCCCCCTTTTCTTTGGCCACGCCCCTGGCACCCGGTGATGTATAAATGGTTGGGGGTCACCACAACATGGGGAGCTGTATTATGGGGTCGCGGCATTAGAAAGGTTGAGAACCACTGGTTTAGAGGGAGTTAAGGGTTAAGTATGAATTTGTTTATTGTATAATTTTTTAAAGTTAAGTAGATTTTGTTTATTTTGTCCATAATAACCCTGTATTCTGCTCTGGGAAGTGGGGGGGGGGTAGGGGGTGGGTGGGGGTTGAGGTTAAGTAGGTTAGACAAATAGGACTATTAATGTATAATATAGACAGGGTAATTTTGAGAGAGGGGCTGCTCGGGTATTTCCCCTGAACTGTATCCGAAGAGGGATGAGAGGGGAGGAGGAAGGGATGGGAGGAAAGGAGGAGGGGAAGAGAGAGGTGAGGAGAGGAGAGGAAGAAGAGGGAAGTAAGGAAGGAAGGTAGAGAGGGCAGATGCAGTCTGAGGGGAAATGGGCGAGCGACACCTAAAGTTATGTGTATGAATTTATTTTATTTTATTAAAGGTATTTTTATATGAATGTATTGAAAAATGGAAAATAAAAACTTTTTAATAAAAAAAAAAGTCAAGGCTCACGTTTATGACATTCACAGCATTTCTCTCAGCCATGTGTTCCCCAGTGAAATCAGTCAGTACATGTTTGTTTTCGCAGAGTGGAGAGATTGCCTAAACAAGCTACTTCTTCCTTAGCTGCTTTTCTTTGCAGGGCAGCACATCTCTGCTAATGTCACTAACAAAACAGACCAGAATTGTTGATTGCAGCTACTGCCTAACACTGACAAGACCCTAATCAATGTCACCTTCAAGGCTTTTTTTGCCTCCTCAAGGTAAACAGCTTGTATTGCTTCAATCTATACTCTTCATTGTGTGTCTGCTTGCTCTCTTGTAATCCCTCTCTCTCCAATGAATATGAAAATGATTCTCTATATGTGATTTATCCCAGCATCAGGGTGAGCATTCCAAAGCATAAATGGAGAAAAAGGGCTATGAACTTCCACAAAGCTTCTCTGTTTGGGGTTATCCAGCTGTTGGGGATCTGAGCCCTATGTAAAGCTGAAGTATATTCATAAGCAAAATCGTGATCATATAGTTTTTTCACTTATTGACTACTTTGTTTCACGAAAGAGTTGCTGGTCCCAACTGCAGTCACTAAAAGAGAATTATTGTAACCCCAGGATTTGTCTAGCTTCCACAAACTGCTTAGCCAATCAGATCTGTGGGATTTTCCAGCTTGTAACAATTAACTTCTAGAAAAACCATCGCTTTACTATTACTCTGGGCCCCTCTTTCTTGTAAAGCAGGTACTCAACAATCCTTGCAAAAAAGCTCAATTCTTTTCCTCAGCGTTGTAATTCTTCTTTAGACCCAATCCACAGCAGCTTCTAATACTACGTTGTGTTAAAGCACCCAAGGGGGGAAAAAATGTCACTTGTTCTGATCTCTGCAGGCAACTTACACATCTTCAACACAGAGATAAAGGGGGGGCCCTTTTGTCCAAACAGATGGTATGAGAAACTGCCACAGATTATTAGGCAACCTTAGAGATGTAGCAGTTACAAGGAATAGACAATCATTCTTCACCTAAAGCAGAGGTCCCCAACCTATGGTCTGCGCCCCACTGCCGGGCCGTGGCCTACTGGCCGCCACTATTGTCTATTAACCCCACTCCGGCGGTGGGCAGGAGGCTCATCCTGCGGGGTGAGGCAGGGGGTAAGGCGGGGGTGCCATTACTGTGGGGCAAGGCAAAGCAGGGGGGGCTGCTGCCTGATACCATCAGCCCCCCGCACACAGAGACCAGTGAGCACATGGGGGCATGGTCTATCACCTCTGCTCAAGCTTGCTAGCCAGCTGCTTCGCCTCCTTTGTGCTGGGTGGGGCTGCCGCTCCGGGTGCAAGCAGTGGCCTAATGGATCTGCGCGAGCTGGTGGTGGTGGCGGCAAGTGTGCCCACAGAGAGGGCTCTGAGTGCCGCCTCTGGCACGCATGCCATAGGTTCGCCATCACTGTTCTAAAGGATCTATCAACTTGTCCGTTTAAGCCAGGGCTAGGCAACCTTGGCTCTTTTATGACTCGTGGACTTCAACTCCCAGAATTCCTGAGCCAGCCATGCTGGCTCAGGAATTCTGGGAGTTGAACTCCACGAATCATAAAAGAGCCAAGGTTGTCTACCCCTGATTTAACCAAAAAAAAAGTCGCAGACCGTCCTTCTAGGTAGAAGCTGCTTTCTGAGCACTTACGACAACAAAAGACTTCCACAAATGCCTGAATACCAGAGCAAAACAGATCCTTACCCAGAATGGCCACATTCCTAGAATTCTCCAGCATGACGTCTCTGTGTAAGGCTCTCTGGCTAGAATCCAGCAGAGCCCATTCCTCTTCCGTGAAATACACAGCCACCTCCTCAAAGGATACGGAGCCCTGAAATTCAAAGGAAATGATCCTCAGCGGAGACAACCCAGAAAATTCTCTTCCACGTTTCCAATATCCCAAAAGTAAGTTTTACAAGACAGAAAATGCTGCTTTTGTGACATAATCTTCTACTAGGTTTCATAGCTGCCTCTCCGACAATCCACCTGTCTGGTTAGAACAGACATGTCAAACACAATGCCCGTGGGCCTGATGCGGCCCGAGAAGTGGTTTCATGTGGCCCGTGAAGCCATCCTGGAAACAGTGAGGGAATGGCCCCTGCTGCCTTGGCCCTGGTCCAGGCCGGGCGGGAGCCAATGTACAATTTTGTGGTGGCCCTCTATGCTGAAACGCATTCAGTCTTAGCTCCACAAGGCCGTCTAGAAACACCAAGGAACCAGCCCCTGCCACGTCGGCCCCATACCCTGGGTGCATGCTGGGGAGGTGCCCCTCTGTGTGAGGAATGAAGAAATGCACCATCGCCTGGAAGTGGCCAGCAAATGGCCCTCGTCTACTTCACATATCCGGATTGATGGGCTCTGCCCTGGTCCCACCCCTTTCTGCCAGAGACCCTCAGATCTGTCCCACTCCTGCCCACGCCCCCACAGGCACCCTTGATGCGAATGATGTAGAGCTGGCCACGCCCATCCAGTAGGCCACACCCATTCCATCCATGCCCATCCAGTAGGCCGCACACACCCCTCCCCCGGCCACCACCACAATTAATTGCAACTGCAATGCTGATGCGGCCCTCAATGAAATTGAGTTTGACACCCCTGGGTTAGAATGACTTCCTACCACAATTCACTTCGGAGAAAGACGTTGAAGAGGTATGCCATTTTGTCACCTCTTTTTCTGAGTGAAAACTTCTGGTTTTTTTTTGCAGAAGCTACCATTTTGATGCAATAACTCCATACCTCTCATACCTATCACTCTTATCTGAATATTAACTGAATCTTGCTTGAACAAGTCAGACTAGTTAAACGTCTATGGAGAGTCATCCAGGTCATCAGTTATCCCAAAGATGCTTTTTCAGAAGGCAACTGGGCTTTCTTGTTTTTCTTCAAAGACGTTTTGCTTCTCATTCTAAAAGCATCTTCAGCTCCTAAAGAAGCTTCTTGGACAAGAAGCGAAATGTCTTCAAAGAAAAACAAGAAAGTCCAATTGCCTTGCAAAAAAGCACCTTTGGAAATCAGACTAGTGTTTTAGACTTTAAGAGAAGTGATTTCAATGTTAAGAAAGAGACTAGGGAATATTCCATGGATGGGAATAATAGTAATTTAATAATAATAATAATAACAACAATAACAACAACAACAATAATAATACAAAGACCTACAAATAGAAATAGAAAGACTGTGGCAAAGGCAAGCAAGGATAGCACCAATAGTCATAGGCGCCTTGGGTGCAATCCCAAAACAACTGGAGCACCACTTGAACACCATTGGCATTGACAAATTCGCCATTAGTCAATTGCAAAAGGCGGCCTTACTAGGAACTGCTTCCATCCTGCGACGATATCTGTAATGCCATCAAACATCCACATCTGCCTATCCCAGGTCCTGGGTAAGGACTCGATAGGTAGACAAAAATGCCAAATCCAGTCTGAACATCTGGCTGACTGTGTGATGATTAATGATAATGATAATAATAATAGTAATAATAATAATGTTGGAAGGGACCTTGGAGGTCATCTAGTCCAACCCCCTGCTCAGGCAGGAAACCCTATACCATTCCAGATAAATGGTTGTCCAGTCTCTTCTTAAAAACTTCCAGTGTTGGAGCATTCACTGCTTCTGGAGACAGGTTGTTCTACTGATTAATTGTTCTAACTGTCAGGAAATTTCTCCTTAGTTCTAGGTTGCTTCCCTCCTTGGTTAGTTTCCATACTAAATACTAAAAGGAAAAACAGTTCAAGATGCTTGGGAAAGCCTATATATATATATCTATAATTTTAACTGGCTCTGCTTGGACATGTGCCATAATTTAACTGCTCTGATTTCTTCAACTGAAGAATTGGCCTACTAATCTTTTAATGAAACTTAATGAATTAAAATTGACTTCTGCTTTTCATTTTTTGCTAGCTGACTCCTGGCTTTGCACATACTTCAGATAGCAAAGGATTTATTTTAAATAAATTAATGTAATCCACTGAAGGGACAACTAACTTAAAAGCTCAACTGATTCCATAAATGAAATTTTGATAGGGCTATAATGGGGCAAACCAATAAGGAAGGCAGGAAAAGCCCTTACCAAGACAATGGTCATAAAAAGAAATTGGAATCTGGGACAGAAATATAATTTGAGAAAATGTCTCAGGTATGACACTCCCTAGTTCTTGTCAAGATAAAGGGAGGGTGGAGGCAGATGCATTCAGATTTGCAAGATTCTGTTGGTGTAACCCACGGGTCTTCAAACCTGGCCCTTTTATGACTTGTGGACTTCAACTCCCAGAATTCCTTAGCCGGCTGAGGAATTCTGGGAGTTGAAGTCCACAAGTCATAAAAGGGCCAAGTTTGAAGACCCCTGGTGTAACCCTACAAAAAAAGTGGTATTACCTTCCCTGTCCTTGGTTTCAAGTTTGGTCTACCTCGGAGGAATGTTCCTTCTGTAGCTTGTGTTTAAACCAGAGGTCCCTAACCTTTTCGGCACCAGGGACCAGTTCCGTTGAGTTAAGTTTTTCCACGGACCGGAGGTGCGTGGTTTTGTGTGCTGCCTGCATCCCACGGATTAGGCTTTGCTTGTTTGTGTCGCTGGCATGCTGTAGTCTGGTACCAGTCCGGGGGTTGGGGACCAGTCTGGGGGTTGGGGACCTCTGATTTAAACAATCATCTTGAAAGTGGAGCTGAGCTAAATTTTGATCTCAACCCTTGACCTCCTTAACAAGCTTTGTGTAGACTGTCATGCCACAAACGACACTCTCCCCCCTCAGGAATTTCCTGCTCTGATAAGCCTCCTTACCTGAGCTGTTGCGGCTCCATCAGACAGACGAGATGTTTCAGTGGCTTCTATAGAAAACCTTGTGTTCCCTGTGATCAAGATAAAAGGAGATGGACAAAAAAAATGTTTGGAAGCTGAATAGTAATAGTAGTAAAGTTGGAAGGGACCTTGGAGGTCATCTAGTCCAACCCCCTGCTCAGGCAGGAAACCCTACCCATTTCGGACAAATGGCTGTCCAGTCTCTTCTTAAAAACTTCCAGTGTTGGAGCATTTACCACTTCTGGAGGCAGGTTGTTCCACTGATTAATTGTTCTCACTGTCAGGAAGTTTCTCCTTAGTTCTAGGTTGCTTCTCTCCTTGATTAGTTTCCACCCGTTGCTTCTTGTCCTGCCTTCAGTGCTTTGGAAAATAGCTTAATTCCCTCTTCTTTATGGCAGCCCCTGAGATATTGGAATACTGCTATCATGTCCCCCCTTGTCCTTCTCTTCGTTAAACTAGACATACCCAATTCTAGCAACCGTTCCTTATATGCTTTAGCCTCCAGTCCCCTATGAGTTGGCTATTGCGGGGGTTCCCAACCCCCGGTCCATGGACCAGTACTGGGCCGCAGGATGCCAGCAACCGGTCTGCATAAACAAGCAACACCCCATCTGTGGGATTCAGACAGCAAACAAACCCACCCATAGAACCTGTCCCTAGTGCCCATATTGGGAAGCACTACACACTGAAGGCAGTAGTATGTGTAGAACAGTGGTTCTCAACCTTTCTAATGCCGCGACCCCATAATACAGTTCCCCATGTTGTGGTGACCCCCAACCACTTATACATCATCAGGTGCCAGGGGCACGGCCAAAGAAAAGGGGGGAAAATGGCGGACAGCCTTGTTTGGCGACCCCCGCGAAATGGTCGTTCGACCCCAAATGGGGTCCCGACCCACAGGTTGAGAACCACTGGTGTAGAAGGAGCACAAGAATGAAATGGCTTCAGGCTTCATTGCCCGCAGAAGTAACCTATCACTTACGTGGCAACAAGACCTGAGCTGGTTCCTCCTCTGAGAAGCCCAACAGCTGCTCCACAGAGAAACCAGAGAGATCTCCTCCGCCTTCAGGAGGTACCGTGGCCATCTTCATCAACTGGCCCTGCAACTTAAAATATTAAAACAACTGAACGCTGGAACAAGGGGATCCTTTTGTGCCTCCAAAGTGAGACTATGTTATATCCATATCCAACTAGATCAGTGGTTCTCAACCTGTGGGTTGGGACCCCATTTGGGGTCGAACGACCATTTCACGGGAGTCGCCAACCAACGTAGTCCGCCATTTTTTTCCCCTTTTCCTTAGCTGTGCTACTCCCTTTTATTCTATTGGCTTTTGAAAGCCAATAGAATAGACTCTCTTGAATAGAGTCTAATTCTATTGGCTTTCCAAAGCCAATAGGTATTGTCCAGGCTGTCTCTGCCTTTCTGAGCCCACCAAAAGTCCCATTCTGCAAACAGTGCTGCACCAGTTGAGTAGTCCTTGACTTACGACCAGTTGGGGTCATGGCATTAAAAAAGTTGAGAACCACTGAACTAGATCCATGGTTGGAGCCGCAAATTCCGTTGGGATTCCCCTTCTTCCTGTGGAATAATCTGGAAGGGGAAACACCACTCTGGGAGTGAAAATGGAGGGGAACTAAAGTCTCTTCCACTGTCACCGCCTGCATTTGTGTCTCCAAAGCTGGACCGTGTTGTATCCATAGGTGGAGATGCAAATTCGCTTTGGATTCCAATTTCCTCCTATGGAATAACCTGGAGGAGGAAAACAGGCCTCTGGGAGGGAAAGGGAAGAGAAAACCAAGGTCTTTCCTAGATTGAGGCACTTGAGCCGGGCAACGGAAAGCGGCCCTTCCTCCCTGGAGGGGATCCTCCCAGAAGGACAAGGAAGCCAGATCCACGGGGGATCCTTCCTCCCAGGAGGGGATCCTTCCCTCTCCTCACCCGCCGCCGCCGCCGCTCCTCCCGGGCCCGGCTGAGCAGGAATCTCTCGGTCAGGGTCTCCTCCTGGGCGACGCTCTCCGCCCGGCACCCCCGCAGCCAGCCCGCTGTCTCGGTGGCAGGAGAGCCCGGCGCTGCTCTCAGCCTAGACGAGGCCGTCGGCCCGGCCGGGCCGGGCTCCCTTGACCGGTGGTGCCTCCTCCTGGTTCAGCCTCCACTCCTTCCCTGCCCGCCTCTGGCCGGGAGCCTCCGCCGGATGCCGATCCGCTGCGCGCCGCCCCGGGATCCCTCCGGATTCCCTCCCATCCTCCACTCCCGGCCGCCTCCTCCTTCCCGGGAAAGGTGTGGGGGGGAAGCCTACCGGCTAAGCGGGATCGGGGCAAGCGCAGCTGCCATTCACCCCCGGCTCTCGGCTCCGACTTCAGCGTAAGGCCCTCTCGGCCTCTGGGAAGGCGACAGCGCGCTTCTTCCTAGGAAAGCTCTCGGGTAGTCTCTGTCGCCTCCTTTGAAGGGGAGTGAGTCTCCTTTGAAACGTCCCCGGCGGCCAGCCAGTCCGTCTCTTTCCTGCAGAGGGGCACGGCTCGCGAGGACTCCCACGCTTGCTTCCCCCAGGTAGGGATAGGGATAGGGATAGGGATGGAATAGAATAGAATAGAATAGAATAGAATAGAATAGAATAGAATAGAATAGAATAGGGGTAGAAGAATAAGAATAGACTAGACTAGACTAGACTAGAATAGAAAATGGAATGGAAGAGAAGAGAATAGGGGTAGAAGAATAAGAATAGAATAGAATAGAATAGAATAGAATAGAATAGAATAGGGGTAGAAAAATAAGAATAGAATAGAATAGAATAGAATAGAATAGAATAGAATAGGGGTAGAAGAATAAGAATAGAATAAAATAGAATAGGGGTAGAAGAATAAGAATAGAATAGAATAGAATATGGAGTAGAGTAGAATAGAATAGAATAGAATAGAATAGAATAGAATAGATGGAATGGACCTTGGAGGTCTTCTAGTCCAACCCTCTGCTCAGGCAGGAAAACCCAACACCATTCCAGACAAATGGTTGTCCAATCTCTTCTTAAAAATTTCCAGTGTTGGAACATTCACAACTTCTGGAAGCAAGTTGTTCTGTCAGGAAATTTCTCCTTAGTTCTAGGTTGCTTCTCTCCTTGATTAGTTTCCATCCGTTGCTTCTTGTCCTGCCCTCAGGTGCTTTGGAGAATAGCTTAATTCCCTCTTCTTTGTCGCAGCCCCACAGATATTGGAACTCTGCTATCATGTCCCCCCCTCGTCCTTCTCTTCATTAAACTCAACATACCCAATTCCTGTAACCGTTCTTAGTATGTTTTAGCTTGCAGTCCCCTGATCATCTTTGTTGCTCTTTGCACTTTCTAGAGACTCAACATCTTTTTTACATCATAGTGACCAAAGTTGTCTGAAGTTGTCAGGACTCCCGTTTGCAAAGCCTGCGGGTGGGTGGATTTGGCTTTGCCTTTTGTAGGTCTCTCAAAAGGATTCGGAGAGGATAACAATCAACCTAGGGAGCAACTCTCTCCTCCTCCCTCCATTAGTATTTTTAAGCCATGGACCGACCTTCTGCCTGGAATTGGACGGCTACCTTCCTGGAGGGTTTGAATCTCAAGTTAATCTGGACAACCATTTGTCTGAAACATTATAGGCTTTCCTACCTGAGCAGGGAGTTGGACTAGAAGACCTCCAAGGTCCCTTCCAACTCTGCTATTGTATTTCTTATTCTATTCTATATTCCATTCCATTCTGTTTTGTTCTATACTATTCTATTGTTTCATTCTATGCTATTCTATGTTCTATTCTATTCTATCCTATTCTTAATAAAGATTCGATTCTATTCTATTCTCAATATTCTATTCAGTTCTGTTCTATTGTTCTATTTTGATTCTATTCTGATTGGTGTGTGCTGTCATTCCAAGTCCAGAACTAGTTCATAATTATCTTTTGGGAGAGGGTCCATCGTAAATTCAAATAGTTGCTAAGCAAGTACTAGCCACAGCCCTTAGAAACGAAAATAAAACCTCAAATATTTTATTGTGAAATTAAAGGACAAGCACTATAGTAAATCTTTACAAAGTTGCATAAAAATGGGGATTTGTGGAGAGGAGGAAGTGTTTTCCTGTTTTTATTAAGGGAGGGGTGTTGGCAGAGGTAGTTACTGAGCGTTTGAGAGTTTCATCGCTATCATAATATTTTTGTAACATTAAATCTGATTCTGTTGTGTTTATTCTGCACTGCAGGACAAACTTTTGCTTTCTTCTATGGGACACCACATCAAATGCTTCCATAGGGATATTAAATCCTTCTTGGTTGGGTTTTTTTTTTTTTACAGGGTTAAATAGTCCCATCAGCCTCAGTCTGTTTTCATGAGACTTTAACCTTAACCAACCATATAATCCTCGTCAGCCTCTGATACAGCAGTCCCAGATTACATCAGGAAAAATAGTCAAGATTAGTCTAACAATGTGGAGAGGGGCTCATAATTCATTGATGAAGGCTTAAGCCAAAAAACAAAAAACAAAACACCAACTCTTTCCATGTTCCACTCTTTTATACAGTTTCTCTCCTAAGTGGAAATTTTCTGGTAATTTAAGAAGACACATCTTCTTAAAATAGTGGTTTTACTTCATTCCTTGATGTATTGTCTCTCCTGTATGGATCAGCTCTTCAGTCCGCAGGTTTAGCATTCATAAAACTTAACCAAACTCAGATATGTATATATTTTCTTGGGGGAGGGCCAGTACTGGTACCGAAAGTTCATTTACACTCATAGGACTTCCTATGGGAAACAAGGGCAGTGCCACGTTTTAATCCATTTCCACACTTCAGGCATTTTTATGGTTCTCCCCTATGGATTCATTTAGGTCTGACGAGATGACATTTCAAACTGAATGTCACTCCAATCATCATTATTATTTCTGTATTTCAGATATGAGTCTCTTTATGGGAAGAAAACAAGATGAAAGCTCCCAAGCTACGTTTTTTTCTCTTGTTGGGAAAGGTGATTTTTCTGACTGAAGTTCTTTCCGCACTCTGAGCATTAGGATGGTTTCTCCCATGTGAATCCTTTTATGGCAAATAAAATAACTGCTGCAATTGAAGCTCTTTCCACATTCCACTCATCTGGTTTCTCCCCTGTATGAATATGTCTACGATAAGTCATATCTGAGTGTAAGCTGAAGTTCTTTTCAGAGTTCTAACACTGATATGCTTTCTTCACAGTGTGCATTTTTTTATGTTTCTTAAGGTGGCAGTTTCGTCTAAAGTTCTTCCCACATTCCAGGCATTTGTATGGTTTTTCTCCTGTGTGGATCCTTCGATGGTAAATATAGGTCGTTCTCTGACGGAAGCCCTTTCCACACTCGATACACTTGTATGGGTTCTCCCCCGTGTGGATTCTTACATGTATCACAAGGCTAGATCTTCTACCAAACTTCCTTCCACATTTCAGGCAGGTATATGGTTTCTCCCCAGTGTGAGTTCTTTTATGACTTGTAAGGTGGCCGCTCTGACTGAATCTCCTTCCGCACACCAGGCATATATACGGTTTCTGTCCTGTGTGCTTTCTTTTGTGAGCTGTAAGGCGACTTCGCCTACTGAATCGCTTTCCGCACTCCAGGCACTTATACGGTCTCTCCCCTGTGTGAATCCTCTTATGGTACATAAGATCCGAGGAGCCACTGAAACTCTTTCCACACACCAAGCACTGATACGGTTTCTCCCCTGTGTGAGTTCTTTTGTGTTGCATAAGGCTAAAATTACGCCCGAAGCTCTTTCCGCATTCCAGGCACTTGTATGGTTTCTCTCCTGTGTGGATCATTTTGTGGCGAATAAAATGACTGCTCTGATTGAAGCTCTTATCACACTCTGAACATTTGTATGGTTTCTCCCCCGTGTGGCTCCTTACATGCTTGATAAGGCTGGAACTTCCACTATACTTCCTTCCACACTGCAGGCACGAATATGGTTTCTCCCCAGTGTGGGTTCGTTGATGTCTGGTAAGGTGACCCGTCTGACTGAATTTTTTTCCACACACCAGGCATATATATGGTTTCTCCCCCGTGTGGGTCCGTTCATGGACAGTAAGTTTACATTTGTGAGTGAAGGTCTTTCCACACTCCAGACATTTATACCGTTTCTCCATTGGGACATTTTCTGGGGGTAAAATAAGCAACTGTTTCTGGCTGAAACCCTTTCCACACGCATATAGATTCTCGTCTTTATGTGACATTAGATGACTATTCAAAGTGAATTTTTCCCCACAATTTAAAATTCCATATGGTGTCTCTGGGATGTATGATGGGTGATGTAAAACAAGAGAGGAGTTAAGACTGATATTTTGCCCATGCTCTTGATGTTCACATTGTTCCTCTTCAGTTTGGTTCGGATAATATTTACCGAAAAGAGATGTTGCTTTGTCTATTTTGCCATATCTGAAATGTTTTCCAACTTCTTTCCTTTGCTGAAGTTGCAGGGTTGGGAGGCCAAGGACTTCATTGTGACTAGAAGACTTCTTCCTTCCATTCTTTAGGCAGCTTTTCGTACTCTTTTGAGGTGCCCCCCGATTTCCAAGTATTCCTTTTTCAGACTGGAGCACTTGAAATAGCGTTAGGCTCGGCTCCTTATTATACTCGGGCTCCTGCCCATAAGCTTATTTGAAAAAAGAAAAAAATGTTCATTATTTTCATCACAGAATACGGTGCACCTGTTATTTCTGCACATTTCCTGGATATGCTAGGTTCTCTGTATGGTTTTCTTATAGACAGGAATTGTGTTATTCATTCAGCCACCACGGAAACTTACCGTGGTGTTTAATGAATGATATTTACCCTCAAAGTTACATCTGTTGCTGGTCCCCACATTCATGTGAAAAAAACATGGGTGCTTGGCAGCCCACCCAAACTTATAACCATGGGTCCCCCCACCTGTCTCTACCCTTTGCCAGCTACCTCAACACATTATTTTAATTATTTAGTTAATTTTTTTCATCACAGAAAAAAATCCATTATTGTTCAATTTCAAGAATTTGCTGGATTTCGCTTTGGGTGCCTCAAGCTTTCATTTATGGTTCTACCTCAGACATTATATCCCTTTGGACAATTCCACGCTTATTTTTCTGAGGTATGTTTTATTTTCTGAGGTAATCCCTTATCTGGAAGATTAAATAATCAGAAGCATGGGGTATCAAGAACAAACTGACCTCTTCAATTCTCCAGATTTCTCAGCTTGAAACCTTTTAACTTCTAGAAATACCTTTCATTTACATTTTTTTCAGAGTCGCTCTTTCTTGTAAAGCAGGTACTC